CAGAGAAGTGACATAGTGTAACATAATGTGTAATATAGAAAACAGATAAAGATCAGCTCACGCTCTTAACACTGAAACATAAAAGTATATGGTGTTCAAGGAACTCATCAAAAATTTGATAGCTTTTTTTCTGCTTTCTGTTCCTCAAGAGAGTGTGAAAAACAAATGCAGCCCAGTAGAAACAGCTTTTTGCTGCAGATAGAAGACTGCTAGTCCTTTCAATTAATTCAATCTGAACCTGTTTCTGCCTTCTTGTGAACAATTTGCAGAAAATTTTTAGCACGTTGCTTCCCATCAGATTGCTGGAAGTCTTGTGTTAGGTATAAACGGGAAGGTAAAAATTAGTTTCTTCTCAAACAAGACTTCTCAACTTTACAGAAAGGAGCCAATGTAAACATATGGTTTTAAAAATTATATATTGCTGAACATTTTTTTCAAAACTACTTTAATCTACTTAGCAATGGCAGTTATTAAGTAATTTTTTTCTTTTATCCTGCATCTTAGTGGTGAAGATAAGCCCCTAGGAGTCCTGTAAGGATACCTTCAAAATGGTGTAGATGCGATCAAGGAGTGTAAAAAGGCTCTTTCTGCCATCTAGTGGCAACAAAAAAAACATTCCTATTCACTTAATTAATTATCTCACTGATTGTGTCTGCATTGTCAGCAGAACTAGGTGTAATAATCCTCAAGTGTGCTAAATTTAGGAAGATAGCAGTCACTTTTTATTCCCCTTTTCCACAAAATAACCTGTATTTTCCTTGCCTTGACACCTCATAAAAAAATACAAATCTCTGTTTATTGTCTGAATGCCTTTTGAGTGCACTGCTCTTAAATTCCTGTGTGTGTTTCCCTATATGATACACTGGTACTGAAATACTTTAAGGCTCAGAAACCTTTATTTGATGCTAAAGACACTGGAAAAAGATATTGTCCACACAGGTAGATAAAATGTTGCCTGTAGTGGAATGCATCCCTGAAACCCTTCTGAAAATGAGTGGGTTCCCCTGTGGAACAGACAGCATTTGCTTCTGAAGGAGCAGTGAGCTCTGTGGAGCTGCTGCATTTCAGAATGGTTACTTTTATACTTAAAACTGATTTCTGAGGCTTGCTGGTGTCCCATTTCCCTGTCAGCCATTTACTACTTTTGACAGGCCCTTGCCACCTTTTACAATCTGCAGACTGTGCTTCTCTTAAAAAGTACATGGCTCTGCTTGGATGTGTTATAGCTCCACACTGGTGGTGGGAGGGGAGAGAAACAGAGACCATTCATGCCAAACAGAATCCTTATTCATGGGTCAAGTTGTAAGGGACTTGGGCTCCCACCTCAAAAAGTTAATTGGAGCCTATATGTAATTAAAGCTGCCATTCTCACTTTCTTGAAAGTGATTTAGCCTGAATTATTTGCAAGATGAAGGTTCATAGCCCCTACTTTCTCCAATACCTGTAGTGTAAGGGTATTGAAAATGGTGAATAGTGTAGAATGGCTAACAGAACTCTGCAGAAGATACTATTGAAAATAATGTCTAAGTTGTTTGGTGGATTCTTTTTTTAGTACATAAAGCACTTTAAATAAAGAGAGAAGGCCAATGTTTTATTAGCAGCTCTAAAAAGCTGTATTTTGAACTTCTCTATGTAAGTATAAATTCTCCATAAGATTAAAGCTATCTGCTGGCTGGTTTCCATCTCAGCAGCAGTTCAGGAAAATTTTCTTCCTGTTAATTTCACAGTGGTCACAGTGTGATACTTCAGAAAAATAACTTATTTTGTCATGTAGGGTTCCTGCTGTGCCCTCTTAATTCCTAGTTATCCCTACCTGTTCCATTTAGTTAAGTAATTCATCATATTTTAAAATTACTTTTATGCCTTTTACTCAAAAAGAATTTGCAAATAAAATTTAAACCTTTACATTATCATCTTTTGTTGTTGTTGTTGTTGTTGTTATAATTACAGCACTAGCCAGTTCAGATTTTTAACTGTGAGGCACTTAGGTACATTACTGAAGAAGGGAAGGTTTCTAAAAATGCAAATTTATTTGGGGGAAAAAGTAGCAGCTTGCCAAAACCATGTTACCATCAAATTAAATTAGTAGTCTGTTAAAACAGGGTTAGTGAGAGAGATGATGGTATATCTCCTTGCTGGAGCCAGGTTTTTGCTACCTCCAGCTGCATTTGATCCTTGGAACAGGTGGCCTCTTTGCCTGCTCAGTTTGTCCTTTCCAGGATTGGATGAAGTTTGAGGAAAGTCTTACATGACACTTCTGCAAGGGCAACTCCTGTGCGATTGTATGTGATCCCCTTACAAAGAATTCAACCCCACAATTTTGGAATTAAATCTTGGTATGACCTGACCTGGGTGAAGATGCTGAGGAACCTGGTAATTTTGCTGAGAATCTGGAGTTGGAAGTTGTTCTTTTTGTGTTGTGTATGACAGTATGCGGTGTTGTGTGTGCCATCTGAGGATGGCTGGCAGGTAAAGGGCTCAGCTCTGAGGAGCAGCCAGCTCCCTGTATGTGGCTCTTTCCTTTCACAACAGCGACATGAAGAAACTTCACCTAAACTGCACACTTGGACACAGGCTGGGCTCAACAGTTGCACTCTACATGGTGGCAGATCATGTGCAGCAGCTCCGAAAAACAGGTTGGTAGAAGCAGATTTCAGCATTTACCTTCTTCAGAGTGCTGCCAGCACTTTGCTACAGCCAGGAACCTGCCTAATGTGGTCTAGTTCAGACAATCCCATCCATTTCCAGTCTCTCCTATGTCATCTTGTTACGCAGGTTCTTCTCATTCCACATGTTCCAACAAAAGTTTGCCCTCCATAACCACAATCTGACTCTGAAATTCAGTGATTGTCTTGAAGCCATCTGCATTTGAGATTATATCCTTTATTCCAGTTGGCACAGAGTACATGTCCAGTGCCAGTTTCTCCAGTTCTGCCACTTCTTTTCTTAAATGTGCTTCCATCTTGGTAATAACATTCAAGACTGTGAATATTTAGATAATAAATCCATTAACCATTATTTTGATGAACAAATTTTCGTATCAGGTATAGAAAAGGAATTTATTTCTCTTTCAATCAACCTCTATCTCTATGATTGGCCATTCTTATAGGCAGAGCAGGTTGGGAATGGTGTAGGTGTGTTTTAGCCTTCCATTGCAAAGCCACACAAGAAAGCAAAATAGCAAGAAAGGCTGGAAAATGTTGCTTGGTATATGAAGCTCAGTCTTGCCCTGGGGCAGGCAACTGCATCATTTAACTTCTTCTATCATTTATCTTGAAGCCTCATAAAGGTCTGTCTGGGGTGTTTGCTCCTGCACTTCTTACAGGATGAGTATCTAGCTGCTCCCTTGCTCCACGGGTACAAAAGGAAATTGCTGCCTGAGTTGTTTCTTGGCTAGATTATATTAATCTCATTTGTGTGCTGATACTGCTTGTCCTCTTGTTATTTCCCTTCCCATCTTACTTAGCTATCTAAAGCATTTGCAACCTTTCTCTACCTTTATTTTGGCAAATTTGTTTAAGGAGGCTCTGGCCTTCTTTAGGGCACATGGTGTTTACACCAATTTGCCCTGTTCTTGCGTATTTGCCTTTCAGGTAATTTTTTTCTATAACAGGAAAATACACTAGATATTAAGAATTGTTTCTTACTGTGGGGGTGGTGAGGTACTGGAATGGCTTGCCCAGTAAAGCTCTGGATGCCCCACCCCTGGAAGTGTTCAAGGCCAAGGTGCATGGGACTCTAAGCAGCCTGGTCTGGTGGAAGGTGTCCCTACCCACAGTGGGGGCGAGGGCGAGAACTACATGGTCTTTAAGGTCCCTGCCAACCCGTTTTATTATAGACTCTTTTAACAGAAAGGTGCACTCTTTTCCAGATGAGGTCTTAACAGGGTTTGTACGATAGCTTCTGATGAAGTTTTTGATGCTCTTAAATCCTTTTCTCTTTCTGACAGATTAACAAAGGTTGGTTACACTTTTCGTTTTAAAAACCAAAGCAGATATGTTCAAGCCCACCCATCCCAAAGGTAGATCTGTAGAGTAGTCATGAGTAAATAGGAGGAAAAGGTTTCTTCAGATCAGGAACTGCACCATTCCCCTTCTTGTTCATCTTGTCACTGGAATAAAGAGTCTTCCACAGAAGCCAATTATTAATTAGAAGTTAGATTAACCTCAGAAAATTTTTCTTTGAAGATGGAGCTTGACCACTTGTAAAAGAGTGGCCCAGCTGTCAGTCTTGCCAACTTGCTTTAATAAACATAGCTGTAACATTTCAGAGCTGAGCAGTCCTGTTCACACACTCTAGTTCAAACAAGGAACAAGGGTAGGAAATTTTTGCTTTCTGGGAGAGGGTTAGGAATGATGTTCACTGTCTTCTTGTCTGCCAGGAGTCCCAGCACAGGTGTTGGAGGGCCACGGGAGAGGGATGCTCTGGAAAATGACTTGCAGGCAGGGTCTGTCTGCAGCTCCCCAGAGGAGTTCACCAAGTTCTCCAGTCCATGGCAGGGACAGACAGAGCTGGGCTGAACAGAGGGTGCAGCTGAGGCACGGAGCAGCTCCACAAGTCAACAACCCCCTCAGACTCATCTCTGAGAGCTGGGTCAGCCTGGAGGAGGCTCCGGGGAGGCCTCAGAGCAGACCTCCACTGCCTAGGGGCCTGTGAGAGAGCTGGAGAGGGACTTTTTGCAAAGGCATGTAGTGACAGGCCGAGAGGGAACGGCTTTTAAACTGAAAGAGGACATTTTAAATTGATATTGGGAAGAAATTCTTCCCTGTGGGGGTACTGATGCAGTGGAACAGGTTGCCAGGGCAGCTGCGGATGCCCCATCACTGGCAGCGTTCCAATACCAGGCTGGATGAGGCTTTGCTCACGCGGGCCGTGGATCCGGGGCGCCCTGTGGGCCCCGTCCATGGACGTGCGCCGTTCCGCCCCGGCTCCCGTTCCGCCCCGGCTCCCGTTCCGCCCGGCCGGCGGCGGCAGCGGCGCGGCCCCGCCCCGGAAGCCGCGGGGGATGGCGGTCGCGGGGCGGCGGCGGCGGCGGGAGCGGCGGCGGTGCCGGGCGGGGCGGGCGCGGGTGGCGGCGGCGGCGGGCGGCGCCCCCGGGCAATATGTTCAAGAGAATGGCAGAGTTCGGGCCTGACTCCGGCGGCAGGGTGAAGGTGCGGCCGCTGGCGGGGCTCGGGCCGCGGGGGGCGGCGCGACAGCGCCTCTGAACGCGCCGCGCTCGCTTGTGTTCCTTTTCCCTAAGGGCGTTACCATCGTGAAGCCGATCGTGTACGGGAACGTCGCGCGGTACTTCGGGAAGAAGAGGGAGGAGGATGGTCACACTCACCAGTGGACGGTGTATGTGAAGCCGTACCGGAACGAGGTAGAGCAGAGCCGCCTCCCCGAAAGGCTGGCCGGGCTTTGGAACAGGCGTTCTGGGGAACCGGGGAGCTGCCATCCATGGGAGCGTGCAGAACGCCTGTGGAGGTGCACCTGGGGTCGTGGCTTAGCGGTGGCCTTGGGTTAAGGGTTGGACTCCGTGATGTTAGAGGTCTTTTCCAGCCGAGCAGCACCGGACGCGGGCGTTTGAAAAGCCGGGATTAGAGGAAAGGGCAGGAGGGTCTTTGGCTGTAAGCCGAGAAACACATAGGCTGGTTTGGGCTTCCAAAAAGGAAAACCATGGGAAAGGCATGCTTCCATTTGTGTTTTTTGGAGTGATCTTTCCCAGTGTAGGGGAAGACTGGAGAATATTCACGGGGATGAAATACTAACAGACCTGTGTGCAAGAGCTAATTTTTGCATTTACTGCTTTGCTTTCCTTCTGCGCTTAAAGTCAGAAGAAATACTATTTAAAATCAGAAGTAATGTAGGCACGTAGGATAGATGACTGAATAGTAACTTGGCATGCTGAATAATCAGAAATAACCATGTTTCTGTTTTAGGACATGTCTGCATATGTGAAAAAAATTCAATTCAAGTTGCATGAAAGCTACGGTAATCCTTTAAGAGGTGGGTTTTGCATTTCGGCAGTTGTTCCTAGAACTGGGTTTTGTTTTTGCTTTATCATGGGATTAACACTTCTGTGTTGCCTCTTGCAGTTGTTACCAAACCACCATATGAAATCACTGAAACAGGCTGGGGTGAATTTGAAATAATCATTAAGATATTTTTCATTGATCCAAATGAAAGACCTGTAAGTACATTGAACTTTTAACAAAGCTTAAATAATTAATTATGATGGCCTAGAGCTCTAGGAAATAGTTGGTCAAAATAAGTCCCATTGGCCATGGAAGTAATAAAAGTCTCTTTTGAAGAAAATTATTTTAAGGATTGGTCACATTTTCCTCTTCCTGTGCTACACTCCTGGTATTCATGTGCTTGGCTTCTCCAACTCACCTGGGTTGAGCACATGCTGAGGATTTCTCTTCCACAGAGCTTCCAAGTTCTAGGATATTTGAGTATTTTAATTTTTATTTTTTCTGTCAGAATAAAATCAGTCAAAAAGCAGTAGGGCTACTATGCTAACATAAGTCTCTGCCTAAGAAGACCAGGTTAAAACAACTCTGTAGTTGTATAAAGTACTGGAATTAATTTCTTTCTTCCATTCGTGTGTTTAAGACATATCTTGTTGGTTTGTTTATGCAGGTTTAGGTAGGAAACTCAATTATTTTAGGGGAAAAGGATGTTTAATTCTGGAAGGATTGAGTTCCTTCTGTACATGAACAATCCTTTTTTAATCCATTTGTTGCTAAATGAGAATGAAACTGAATTTCATAGTTTTTTTGAATACGTGGCAATTGGTAACAGTGGGTTTCCTGTGCTGTTGGGCTCGGTAGCATCCTGACTTGTGTTAATTCCGTTCACAGCTTGACCAAGCTGTCCTAAGGTTGGTTGGGTGTTTTTTCTTTGCTGCTGTTCTTGGAAGGCTGTTTGGGAGCCTGTCACGTTCTTCCTTTCCAGGAGGTACCAAGGGGAGTCAGGTACTGCTGTGTTCCACCACCGCTCCTGGGCCTGTTTGTGGAAGGGAGAAGCGTGGGCTGTGTGTGCTCTTCCCAGACCATGGGCCAGGTGGTCAGTGGCTCCTCAGAGCTGCACAGAGGGCTTCCAGTCCTCTCCCCACCCTGCCATTTGCAGTGCAGGGATGGAAGAGTAACCCCACAGAGAGAGATTTCAGTGAAAAGCAATTTGTAGCATCCCCTGGTGCTTCGTTTTCTCAAGAATAGAGGATAAGGTCAAAGAAAGCACTTTCTAACTGATTAATTGAGAAAGTCAGTTCGAATTAAATCACCCATTTGGAAATGTTTCAGAAGAGATAGTATTTTTTATAGATCAGTCCTAAACCACTTCAGAGACATTTTTAAAGTCTCAAGAGGCTATTGGACAGTTGGCATGTTTTAAGAGTTAATGTTAAATTTAAAGTAATTCTACTGAAGCTATATGACATTTATATTTGCATTCCTAAAACATTTTTAAATCCTATAGTTATTTTGTAGGAACAAATACTACTTGTTGATATCTAGAACAAGAGTTCTATTTTGCTACAATTTTGAAGCTAATAAAATTCTGTCTTTTGCATAGGTAACTTTATATCACTTGCTGAAGCTTTTTCAGTCGGATACCAATGCCATCCTGGGGAAGAAAACTGTAGTTTCTGAATTCTATGATGAAATGGTATGAACATTCTTAATGTAATCCTCACTTTATTTTGAAGAGCATTAGTGATACCATGTATTTTTCTCTTTCATTAGATATTTCAAGATCCTACTGCAATGATGCAGCAGCTGTTAACAACATCTCGTCAGCTAACACTAGGTGCTTATAAACATGAAACAGAGTGTAAGTTGAAAATTAAACTATTTTAAACTTTAGAAATAACAATAGATGGATTTGCTTTTAACATGGTTTTTATGTGGGGCTGTAACAGTACAATGGATTTGGATGATGGAAAAAGCTGGTAATTTTGCATTAAATTTAACTTCAACTTTTACAAATGTATTAATACTTATCTGAAAACTTCTAAAACAAAAGGAATTAGGAATTACTTGGTATGATGGCATGAACTACACCTAGTCTGACATCTTTGAAATTAATTAAAACAGAGGATAAATTAAGCCCACCCTATGGTACAGTTCTGTTCATCACTGCAAGCAAAGGTCACGCTTGAAGGCATGAATTACAGAACAGTTTAGTCAAAGCAGCAATCCTTTGTGGATAAAGAGTAGTGTCTGAAAGTTCTTTCTCCCTTCTACTTCTTTTATTGTAGGTAATTTCATAACATACTTAAGTACAGCATAATGGTTTTTGTGGCATTTTTATCCAATTTGTCTCCAAATATAAGCAAAAATATTAAGAGAACTAAGGAAATTTAATTAAAGATCCATTGATTCATAAGTTGTAATGCATTTAGTGATTATTTCTTTTCTGATCTTCTGTATTTCATCTGTTGTTTGCTTTCTGAGAGTAGAAAATCTAGTATTTATTGAGCCAAAATCCTGCCCTATTAATTACAAACCTTAATCCATTGTAGTCCACCTCACCTGACCTTAATGTTCACCTGACAACAGGTATTTTTTGGTCAGCAAACACCTAGAGCTAAGAGTGGCAAGTGATTATGAGTTTGAAGCTCGTTAGAGTTTCTATTTGCCTGATGCCTGCTTGGTTATGTGGATATGTGAGCTATTTGTATTTCCTGCCTCAGGTCAGACAGTCTTGAGGTAGATTTTTGGTTTTGTTGCATGTTACAGTTTTTGTTTAGAAAATGTTTAATAATATGATTGATAAAAACATCCTTATTTAAACTTTTTTTCATTTAAAATTTTTGGATATTTCTCCAGACAGCAGTAGAAATTTTCAGTGTGGTTTCTTTGTAGAAATAGTTCCTTAAAATGTGCTAATGAAGCAGATAATATTTGCCACTGCCCACAGTTATGTAATGTGTGGGATATGAGTGATCTCTGCAGCCTTCGTAGACTTGTCTTTACCATCTGTGTCCTAAAACTTGTGCATGAAAAAATAATAAAAAAATAGAATATTCGGTGTCAGATATTTGTTAAAGCAGGGCAGTGTAACCAGAACTTCCAGATCTGTAGAATTAAACTCCAGTGAGACACAGAAAATGGTTAAAGTACATGGAGAAGGAACCACAGAATGGTGTAGGCTTGAAGGGACCTCTGGGTGCATGTTATCCACCCCCTGGGTGGTCAGAGTTTCCTGATGTTCACAGGGAACCTCCCATGTTTCAGTTTGTGCCTGTGGCCTCGTGAGCTGTCACTGTGCACCACATACTAATATTCTCTGTAATTTTCCATGTATTTGCTGTCACCGTGTCAGGTTTTATTTTCCTCACCTAACTTTAAAAAAAAAAGTAGAAAATTATTTTATTAATTGTATAACTATTTGCAAAACTGATGGGCTGAGGGCTGAATAACATTGCAAAACAAGTTGATTTTTTTTTTCCTACATCGAGATTCTTATGTGGATACCATTTTGATTGCAACCATTGAATCTCTAAGGCTAACAGTAACAGGTTTTTTTTCAGGACAAATGATATCCAAATTACTGTTTCAGTTTTTTTTTAAAAAAAAGCAAATTTCATGGCACTTAATATCTATATTTTTCTTTATCACTGCCATAGTTGCAGATCTTGAAGTGAAAACCAGGGAGAAGCTTGAAGCTGCCAAAAAGAAGACTAGTTTTGAAATTGCTGAGCTTAAAGAAAGACTAAAAGCAAGTCGTGAAACCATCAACTGTTTAAAGAATGAAATCAGAAAACTTGAAGAAGATGATCAGTCTAAAGATATGTGACAAGTGCTGACTTGAGTGTGTACTGAAAATGGAAAGACTTCAGTCATAGAATTGTATGAGTTTTCTTCAGTTCTTTAACTGGGACTACAAGAATTTCTCTGGCAAATGATGCGAGTTTGTGGCTATCAACTCCATAAATGGAAGAAAAAAGAAAGAATGTATTCTTGTTTTATAGGTAAAATCTGTGGGTACTTAGGATTTTTTTCAAGTGGAAGTGGTCTTGAAGACCAGACTACTTTTTCTTGGAAAACTGCATTTGAGTCGTGTATGAAAACTTTGTATTAAGTCTTGTATTAGTTCAATGTGATTTTACAAAATGCTGGTGTTTACTTTTTTTACTTTTTTTTTCTACTGACTGTTTAGAGCCGCATCTTTAAAGCTAAAAATAAAATATGCAGTTTTTTATTTTAATGCTTTTTGCCTCTGTCCAGCTTCAAGTATAACTGTAAGTATGCTACTGTAAGTAGCATACCCTGATTTCAGGTAGAGGCTGAAATACAAATGTATGCAAGTTATTTAAGTCTGGTTACAGTGATTTTTGGCATGTCTCTCTGTGGTCAGCACAATGAGAACACTTTCTGAAAACAGGATTTTAAATAACTTGTATCTACAGATCAGAGTTTCTAGCCCCAAAGCTGCTTTAACACATACAAATTCATCAATGCTACAAACTGTGCTCAGAAGCAGCAAATTATTCCAGTATGTTTTGTAGGATTTTGTTTCATATTTGTACTGTACTACAGTCACTTCATCAAATACTGTCTCTGCCACTTCTTCCTCCTCTCTACCCTGCTCCAGCCTGGTGTCCATCCCACAGGAGGCAGTCTTCCATTAATTCCTCCACTGGGAGAGCTTCTCAATGGCTACATTTGTTCACAAGCATGAAGTCCCTCATGGGGTCACAAGTCCTGCCAACAAACCTGCACCAGTGTGGGCTCCTTTCCATGGGGCCACAGGAGCTGGTCCGGTGCAGGCTTTCCACGGGATCAGTCTCCTTTGGGCGTCCCTTTGGTCTCATGTGAAGTCTTCCATAGGCTGCGGGTGGAGCTCTGCTCCAGCACCTGAGGTATCTCCTTCCTCACTGACCACAGCGCCTACAGGGCTGTTCCTCACATGTTCTCACCCCTTTCTCCACTCCTGTTCCCCCTGCCCAAGCAGAGTTTTTTTTCTCCCTTTTTAAATCAGCAAGCTGTTGCACTCAGCCTTGGCCTGTGGCAGGTCCAACCTGGAGCCATCTGGCATTGGCTCTGGTGGACACAGGGGAAGCTTCTGGCAGCTTCTCACAGATACCACCCCTATAGCCCCCTCACTACCAAAACCTTGCCACATAATTCTTAAGTCATTTGCAAGTGTTCCCCCAAAAAATCAGTACATGATTCCATCAATCCTTTAAGAACAAGGCACTAATTTCTTCATATTTGAAACAACTGATGATTGATGGGCTTCTATATGGCTTAGTAAAGTGAAAGTTTCATCACTCTGTACGTAGATTTAGAGTTTTCATTAAGAACAGCAACTTTGCATAGTATTATGAATACACATAGACTGAGAAACAGCTTGTACTGTGGTATCCACACAGACCCTTCCTAGTAGTGCAGAATATCCAAATTTGTCAGTTTTTGGTTACCTATGTGCTTTGGTTTCTTTATTCAGTAGCCAAGTTCTTTCTAAGCAGCAGCTGAAGAATGCCATTTTCAATGCTGTGCACTTGCATGAGCCACAGTATATTGTGCATGCTGAAACAAAAATGGCAATGGAAAGCACAATTTTTGGTGTATACATTATTATTTTCATATTTGTCAGTTAAAATAATAGTAACGATGACCAACTCAAATGGAATATTAAAGAGGTTCTGTAGGAGCTGTGACTAACATGAACAGGTCTGCCACGACAGAGTTGAACAGACCAAAAAATAATGGAGATGTACCTTTTGAATCCAACTCTTTGTGCGAGGCTGAAATACTTTTTTTGTTTACATCCTATAAACAGCCTAGTGTCTTAGGATACAGGAGCAATGATCTTGGCTCCATTGCTAGTAGCCATCAGCATGCTAGACCACAGATGTAATTTCTGTTTGGAGTTAGTGGTCTTTTTTTCTTCAGTTTTTCTTTCAACTTTTTGTATTTTTTTTTCCTTCTCCTTTGCACTCTCTGCAAAGATCTTAGAAGAGCCATTAGCCTCCTTTCTCAATAATAAGAAAATTATTTGCTAACACAGCTGTCTGTGCTGAGTAGTCACTGTCAATAGACAACAGGAAGAACACAAAGTTCCAATTAGATTCTGTGTTTTCATTAGAAAACACTTTTTTCAGGTGCTGAGAAAACAACTGAGCCCTGTATTAGACAGTAACAAAATTCTGGGAGAAGTTAATGACAATTATTAATGACTCAGTCATAGAATATCCTGAGTTGGATGGGACCCACAAGGATCGAGTCCAGCTCCTGACCTTGCACAGTCCATCCTCAGGAACTCCATGAATCTCAGCTAATTGAGAGGTTATGCTTGTTCCTATGTGCTCTGCAGTTGAAAGTTATTGATGCAAACACCTGAGAGCGTGGTATACACAGTAAATTTGCAGTAAGTGTTGATCTTCTAGTGCATATAATTTTCAAAGGTATTAGAACTGAAATGGAGTGAGGTACCTAAGGACACAGTTGCATTTGACCTCCATTGCCTTGAAGAAAAAGACAAACCCAAATGCTACACTTGGCTTCATTTTTGGCAACCCTATGGAGATGCAATTCCAGAAAAATAGTTCCAGTTTGTGCTTGCCAGGGTGCAAACTTAAACGCTGTTTATATTGCTGAAGCTGACTTATACTGTGGCTTCATCCTGAGTTATCATTGGGAAACACAGTTGTATTTAAATCTTGCTTTGCAGAGGAGGAGAAAAAAAATCTCACTGGACTATAGGTACAGTTTGATATCACTGAATTGCACAGTGATTTGTTCACTTGCTGGCACTAAAGCTTTAACCACCACTTGAAGTAACCTTTTGCTAGGTAAAGATAAACATGGTTTATCTCAGTTTACATGCTTACTGTTTTGAGTTTTGCCAGTGAGCATCAATATCAAGTATACAAAACCATTAGTTAGTGTCATTGCCACTTAAATGATAAAGACCTGGGCATTTTAAATGTTTTAGATAAGACAAATTAATACTCATCACAATAATTTCAGACAAGGAATCATTACTTAGTACCCAGTATTATATATCACTAGTCTTTTTCTTACCTAGCTCCATCTCATATAACTCAGTTTTTTCCTTTGGGTTTGGCACACTGTAGTTTGCTGTCGGACTGTGAAGTACTATAAGGCTGTTGCCCAGGATGTTTCTTATCAGAAGTGCCATTATCTGACAGGAGATATGTAGGTACAGTTAAAGAATGTTTGTAGTCAGTAGAGATGGAACTGGAAGCAACATTAAAGCACTGTCTTCATTTTCTTTCTAGACAGATGCTGGTAGTAACGCCAATCTTTTGCTGCTCATGTATTTCATCCATAGAAAATACATCAAAATGTGTTTGTGTCTTAATGAGAATACAGATTTAAGAGCATTTCAAGTTATTTTCAGACATGATGTTTTCCAAACACCAGGGGGCAGGTATGCCCAAAATATTCTCCAGTCTCTACAGAAGCTTAATTACTGGTATTTTGGCAGATCTGTGACATCTGTGGTTAATCTCATTTGCTTTGACACTGGGTCCTGATGAGAGCACCTGTATTTGTTTCTGCAGAGATGAGATGACCAAATGATCTCTTGCGTGTTACAGAACTGTTCAGCAGCCTTGTCAACAAATCAAGTGTGCCATGCCAGGAAGCACAAAATAAGGCATGAGTGTTTAGAATTTTTCTCTGTTTGGGAAGGGAAGGAGGTTTCAATATACAAATCTCTGGGGTTGCTTTTAGTTGTTTTCTTTTTTTTTTTTTCCCTTTTCAGGCCAAGATTATGTGTCAAATGAGTGCACAAAACATAACTAAGGCATTCTACTGGAGTGCACACTTTGCTTGCACTCAATTGCATGTCCAAATTGGCAGGATTTTACACCAGTAAAAGCAATTACTTTTTGCAACTTAGCCTTGATAAAGTTAATAAACTGATTTGACTACTTACTTCATTATGAATAATGAACCTTTGGCTTCCAAGTGTATTGGAAGTTCTAATTTGCCTGCATACAGCAGGGAAGAACAGTTTCACTTAAGAGGGGGAAAAAAAAGAGAATTAGGATGGTAGAAAAGGATAGCAGCAACGAGAAATTGTTATGTATATATTTAGTTGGGATTTATGTAATATTTGCTTATACATTCATACTATTTCCACTCAAAAATGTTTTAAGCTAGCACATGAAGTCATGTAAGTTTCTCGTGAAACAGTCCGGTCTATACAAAAAGCTAATACATATCCAAAATTTAAATTTACATCTTGATTTTCATGGGAAAAATCTCTTGAATGTGAGTGATTAGGCCACAAAAAAAACTTCATTAACATTGCAATATACAGTATTTGTCCTACTCTACCCTAATAATGACTGTCTTTTTAAGGTGTTCATTTGTTATATTTGGTGTTCATTCCCCCACACTTGTGGGGAATTGTGTACTTTAGGACAGAAAACCAATTTTATCTGATCTACTACTGGCTTCTGCATTGCAAATACTTTCACCTGAAGTGACCAATACCTTATTTTCTTCTTAACATCTTAATTTTACAATGTTAGGAAAATCTCACTTTTTTTCCAGTCTACAAACCAGCTTTTTTCAAATTGAACATTATGTTTAACCTCTGATCTAGAATGTTAAAGAAGCATCTCTATGTTTTTAAAATAAGAATTAATCCAGGTTATTTTTGTTTTAATTACTGTCCTGAGTAGAGTGACTACTGTGTTCCACCCAAAGTTCCACTCAAGTCCCAATCCACCTGAAATCTGAGCAGGTAAAAAGAAGAATATTGAGAAGTTATGTTTGAGGAGCTTGCAGTTAACTTTTGATGTTATTTCCCACTTTCTTTCTGGAAGATTATGTAGTAGGTAAAGCATTTACTTGGTAAGCGAAATATTTCTGAGGAAAACTGCATCACACAGTTTTAGTTTTTCACCATGGTATCATGAGAGTACTCTCCTGTGCTGCTGCCAACAGTGAGCTGTAGGCAGTCAGCTCTGCAGGACTCCTGAGCTGTAGCTGACACTGATGCTGCAGAGTGCTAGCTTCAGTCTTACTTAAATCTAGAGACAGTTTGTGTGACAACTCTGAAACATTGTGATCATTGAGTAGCTGTGCATTCCAGCATGTTGAACTTGGTTAGAAGCCATTATATACCTGCATCACTTCTCTGTGCCCTTGTGTAAAAATACCACTAAGAAACCAAAACTCTGGGGCTGAACTTCTATCCTAGTATCCCTGATACAAAAAATAAAG